TTCTTATTACTAATTTTGACATTAAGTGTGGAGTCTTTTTCAGCGGTTGTGTTTCAGGGCAACGAAATAAAGCGAAGCTCGTTTGTGTTTTTCCCAGGCTTTTCTTCCCGCATCTACTACAACTCATGGCTGCAGCTGAGTGGCAACCTCTGCCGTGAATCCCCATCGGAAGCGTTTGCTTTTCTTTATCCCAAAGTGAATCTCCGCGATTCCACGGTTTCTTTGTCTGGCAACCGATTCATGTCCAGCAGGGGCACGCCGACAGTTCTGCGGATCTCCACGTGGTCCCGCGATATCACCAATGGAGCGATTGTGGCTGCGTGCAACACAGTGAACGGCGAGGAGGAGGGGGCTAGTTACGACATCCCGTCCGTGTACAACGCCACCATCCTGAGCTGCAGCGACCCATGCGCCCTTGCGGCGTCGTGCTTCCCCGCGTACACGACGACGGTCTCGAGTGATGGCTGCGCCTGCAGGTGCGCGGAGGGCGGCCATGGCGATGCGTGTCTGCCCGTTGCTGTCCCCGAGCCACCGAGCACCGACGGCGCCGACTTGTGCGTGCGGGACGTGCGTGTGGATGTGGAGGTGAGCGCCGGTTTCGGGACGTCGGTGGCTTGCTACGTTGGTGTGATCTTTGCGGCGGACGTCGTGGTGGACGTGGAGTCGATGTCAGGGAGCGTGCGCAACGTGACGCTGGTGAACTGCACGTTTTTGGACGGAGCAAGCCTGTACGTTGTTGGGTGGCGATCCGACCCGACTGCTGGCGAGCGCGCCGATGTGTTGATCAGCGGGCTTGAGTCGCGTTCCGGTGGCGGCGTGCTGGTGGCGAACCGATTTCTGCCGGGCTCGCGCGTCACCGTGGTGGACTCGGTGCTGATTGCGGAGGCGCGTGTTGCGTACCGCGGCGCCTACGGCCTTGGCGACGCCTCCGCGTGCCTCGTGCTGCACAACGTGAATCTGACTGGGAGTGTGCTGACCATTGCGCGCACGCACGTGGCGGCGGTGTTCCGCGACGCTGTTGGCGTGTTGTTGGTTGGCGGCGTGGCGCTGTCGTCGCGCGGTGCGCTGTACGTGGACGGGCTGTCGGTGCAGACGGCGCTGGGGCTGTGTGTGTCGGTGGAGGGCGGTGTTGCGGCGAGTGGCGGCTCCGTGGTGGCGTTTGTTGACAGCGACTTCCTGCTGTGCAAGCACGCGGTGTCTGTGCGTGGGGCTGTGAGCGTGTCGGGCTCCGCTGTGGCGCTTGTGCGAAGTGACTTTGCGTCGACGGGGGACTACGCGGTGGCGTTTTATTCGACGGTGAGCCTGGATGGCGGGTCAATGCTTCTGGCGAAGGGCAACGTGCACGACGGTGTCTCGAGGGAGATGCTCTACGCCGCTGGCGCTGTGACCGCTGCTGGGAGCACGCTGAGCTTTGTGCGCAACCGAGCGCTGCTGCCGCGGATGCTGTCGGTGAGCCTGTCGCTTGCGGCTGGGGCGCATTTGGGGGTGGCGTGCAACGACGCTGGTGGCCGTGTCCTGTCGACGGCGGAGGAGTACGCAGCAGCTGGTTTTGGCGACGCTGGGAGCATCGACGTTGTTGGGTGCGACGCCTGCGACAGGGACACGCACTGCTACGCGCCCGGGACGGCGGCGGCGAGCATGAAGGACGGTGTGTGCGTGTGCGTGTGCGGCAGCGGCGGGTACGGCGAGGCGTGCGTGCCTGTGGGAGCTCCTGCGCTGCCGCCTGCTGTGGGCACTGCGTCGAGTGTGTTCGTCTGCGAGAGCGTGACGGTGCGGTCTGTGTTCGTTGTGCCTGCCGGCGCGAGCGAGGTGACGCTGCGCCACGTTGTGCTGGACGGCGTGAGTCCGGTGCTCTACGTGCCGTGGATGGCGCGGGACGGCGTGCAGATTGTTGTGCAGAACGTGTCGCTGCGTAACGGCGCCGTGCTGTACGTGATGGGCGGTGGAGCGTTGCGCGGTGCGGGTGCGGCGGGGAGCGACGAGAGCGGGCCGGTGGAGCTGTCCGTGTGCGATGTGGAGGCGCTGAACGGTGCGCTTGTGCTGACCGGCACGTTCCCCGCGGGGTCTTTGCTGACGGTGACGGGCTCCCTGCTGGTTGCCGCGAGGTCGACGCCGCTCGTGTATCTTTCCGGCTCGCAGTCCTCGCCGTACGCACCGGTGCTGGTGCTGTCGGGCCTGCGGCTCGTGCGGTCTGTGCTGGTTGTGTCCGGCGTTGCCCTCGTGACTGTGATGACTGGTGGGCGGACGGTGGTGGTGGACGGCGCGGTGCTGGAGGTTGTCGGTGGCGGTGTTGCGCTGGATGCGGCTGTGTTCGGTGGCGACGTTGCATTGTACGCGAGTGCGCGCGTGGTTGCGTCGGGGGGCGCTGTGCTGCGCGTGTCTGGGAGCCAGGTGTACGCTGCGCATGGGTTGGTGTTCGACAACGGGGTGATGGCCAACGCGTCCGCCGTCGTAGTGAACGACAACGCCGGTGCGCTGACCGATGGCGCGCTGCTGGTGCTGCGGGGGTCGGCGTTGTTTGTGTCCGGGTCGTGGCTGTCGGTGCGCGGCAACAGCATCAGCGGCATGCTCCTGTCGGTGCCGTCGCACCCGCGCCGTGCAGAATTTGTGCAGAGCACGCTGACGCTCCACGGGAACGCTGGCAGTGGGTCCGTTGTGATGGACGGCAGCGTTGCGCTTGGGGGCGCCGGCCGAAAGTTCGTCGTGGGGTGCCTGACGCTCAACGGGCAGGCGCTGCGGCCTATGGACTACAGGTCCGCCGGCATCATCGGGGAATTCCGCCCTGTGGCGTGTGGCGTGTGCGACGCCGACGTGCACTGCTTTGCAGCTGCGACGAGGGCGATGTCGGGGTCGTGCGGCTGCCGCTGTGCTGAGGGCGGGTACGGGCGCGACTGCCTGCCGGTGTACCTGCCGCACGTGGACGGGTGCAACCGCACGCCCGCCATGCCGCCGCTGAGCCACACGGCGACGCTGACGGAGACGTGCAGCCTGACGCCAACGTGGACGCCGAGCCTGAGCGCGGCGCACTACAGTCTGACGCACTACAGTCCGACGGAGACGCTGCAGGTGACGGAGACGGTGGCGCTGCCGCCCACGCGGACCCCGACGGCGTCGGTGAGCAGCACGCTGTGGTGGAGCGACGTGGCGTGCCCGACGCTCGCCGTGACGACGACGGCGGCTGGTGGAAGCCTGACGCAGAACGACATCCGCGGCGGTGGGAGCGCCGTCCCGACGCGGCTGATGGTGGCGCTGCCGCCGCCGTTTCGGTGGGCAGGCGACCCGCAGCTCGGCAAGCACCTGAGCTTTGTGCCTGTGTCGACGGCGCAGCTGAGCGGCTTCGGTGGTCCGTGGGGAGCGATGCTGCGCAACGCGACGTGGGTGCGCAACGCGACGAATCCGTCCACCGTGCTGGAGCTGGCTGTGCCCGTGCACCGCGGTTACTTCATTGGTGCCGACGAGACGATAGTCATTCGCTGCGACGCTGCGACAGTGTTTGGCGGCTGCAACGGTGTGCTGCTTGGGTCCTTCACGATCAGGTCCAACACGCTGCCCGCCGCTGCCAGCGTCCTCTCGGCGATCACCGGCGTCGTTGCGGGTGCGGCGGCTGTTGGCGTCGTGGTGACCGGCGGGCTGGGCTCCGTTCTGGAGATGCAGGCGCTCGGCGTGTTCGCGAGGATGTCATGCGCCTCGGCGCAGGAGCGTGCGAGCACCGCTGCGCTGCCGTACTTCCTGTCGGTGTTTGCTGCCCTTGACCCGCTGTGGATGGTGGTGGGCAACGCGCTGCTCGCCGCTGTGTTCGGGTGCGTGCACTGCGGTGTGACGGCGGCCTTCCAGCGGCGGCGCGGCGTGGACGCGGCGAGTGCGTGGGCGGCGATGCGCTTCCCGAGCCTGACGTACGTTGTGGCGCACGCGATGCATCTCGGCATATTCTTTGGCTCCGTGCTCGCACTGGCGATGCCCGACGCCCGCGTGCAGCACCGCGTGGTTGGAGTCGTTGGCGTGCTGTACGGTGTGGCGTTCCCTGCTGGCGTGTGCTACTTTATTGCCTGCCACGTGGGCGCGAGCTTCACGAGGTACTGGCAGTTTTCGAGGAAGCCGCTGCACGAGCGCCTGTTGTACCCCGTCGGGTATTGGCACCCCGCGGCGCAGCAGCGGATGTACGGCGGCATGCTGACGAACATGAGGGGCAGCCACGTGTACTGGTGCGTGTTCCAGCCGTCGGTGCTGTGTGTGGTGGGCCTGATTGCGGCTGTGCATCCGCCCGTGGGAGGCTGCCATGTCCAGTACTTCTGCATGGCGGCTGTGCTGCTTGCGGGTGCGGGCGTGGTTGCATTCACGAACATGATGCGCTCGGCCTTTCTGACGATGATGCAGACTGCGAGCTTTGTTCTCCTTGCGGCGCTGTGCGTGAACAGCGCGGCGAACCATCTTGCGCCGAGCGACGGCGGTGCGAGGGCGTATGCGGCTATCGTGCTGCTGCTGACCGCTGTGCTGCTTGCGGTCACTGTGTACAGCGTCGTTGTGCGGTACGCGGAGGACCACCACTGGCAGGAGCTGCGCGAGCCGCGTCGTGGTGGGCTGGAGGCGCTGCTGCGCGATGACGAGGAGAGCGACGAGGAGACGCAGAAGCTCCACGAAATGACGTCATCGTCGTATGCCTCAGGCACCACCGTTGCGTCGTCGTACCGACCACCCGCACAGCAGGAACTCATGGCCGGTGACACCCGCTCAGACGCACAGAGCGTGCTCGACCGTGCATCCAGTGCGAGCCGTATGATCGATTACGCCGCCATGTGACGTACACCACGTAGAATTAGTAAGTGTGAGGTGCTTGAGGGGCCACGGCTGTGCTGCGCACCACAGCCATCTATC